AAAAATAAATAAATAAAAAATAGATTGGGGATGTAGCTCAGTGCAAGGGCACTGAGTTCAAGTCCCAGAGTTGGGGGTAGGAGGAGAAAATCTGAAGCATAACAATAGCAGGCTTGCCTTACCAAATACCAACTTATGGTACAAAGTTACACTGAGTAATTAGGTGACATGTTAGGCACATGTCATGAGTAGGTATGCTAATGGTCAGTGAGCCAAATCTGCTCTACTGCTTGTGTGTGTGTGTGTGTGTGTGTGTGTGTGTGTGTGTGTGTACGCGCACATGCTCTACTGTCCCTGGCTGGTTTTCTTTTTTTTGGTGGTTGAAGAAAAAAATCAAAATAAGATTGCTTATTTCAAAATATGAGGAACCTATATGAAATTTACATTTTTGGGTCCCAGATTCATTAGAACTAGGTCAGGTTCATTCATTTATTTACTGATTATGGTTGCTTTCATTCTACAATGGCATAGCCGGGACAGAGAACATGGTTTGCAAAGCCTAAAATGTTCATTGTCTGGCCCCTTACACAAAAAAGTTTGGAGATTCCTAGCTTAATTTATCAAAGATAAAATGTCTAATTACACAATATGAGCAAAAGCAGGGGAACAAAAATCATTCAACCACCATGGGAGTGCAAATTGATACCATCAGTCTTCATGGTCGGTGCCCCCTTCCCCGTCTCTTCTCCGTGTGTGTGTGCAGGAGAAGGGCACTGTGCATGCTATGCAAGCACTCTACTGCTGAGCTACATCCCCAGTCCAATTTTATAACTCTAAGCATTCCTATGCTCTCAATTGGCTTTTAGGATCGTAAGTTAAAGATTATGTGTCTACCAGGATTTAAAGAGTACAGCATCCTTGTAATAGCAAAAGGCTTTAAAAAAGATATACTTCCATTAGTAGGGCAAAAGTAAACTAAATAGATCCACACCATTCTGTCCTGTATGTATGTATTTATCACAAGTATGTGTCTCAATTTAAACCTTATTAACTGAGCATTTTCCCTATTTAGAGAACGAGCTTTATAATGCAGGCTAACACCTGACTATGCATGAAATGTAACGCTATAATCAAAGTTAGAGAGACAAGAATAGGCTGGGAGAAAATTTAATACAGACCAAAGGATTAATATCTACCATGTGCAGAGTATCCACACATCAACAAGAAACAAAGCAACAGGAGGAATTTGTTTTAAATGTGCATTTATCTAGAAAAGTAACCATCGAGAAAAATCTGGCCAGGCCTGATGATGCAGGCCTGTAATCTCAGCACTCTGGGAGGCTGAGGCACGAGGGCTGCAAGTCCAAGTCCAGCTTGGGAAATTTAGCAACTCAGGGAGACCCTGTAAAAATTTCTGACTCTGAAAAATTCAAAAAAGGAATCACAAGGGGCCAGGGATTTAGCTCAGTGGTTCCATGCCTGCCTCACAAAAAAAAAAAAAAAGGAATCACAAAGAAAAACCAGTGAGACTTTTAAAGGAGTAAGGACAGAAAAGTTCATCCAATTTTTCAAGAAAGCCTAGCACTACTTTTTGCATTTTCTGCTGAATTTACTACTCAACCAAGCACAAGTGGTCACTGTGGGGTATTCCACTACATCACCAAAAACAATGCTGCATACCCAAAATGGCACCCCTGCAAATACCTTATGTCCAACAAATGGTACAGTCTTTGTATGAAAACCACTTCATACCAAATACATCCTCCTGTGATCATAGGAAAAAAATTTTTTGAGGGGAAAATGTAGGTATGAGAGTTGAGTGAAGTTTCAACTTGACTGGCCTGGGATTTATCCCAGAGCTGGGGGGGCACCCTTCCAGGTGCATCTGGGCGGGTCAGAGACATAGCCTTGAGGTTTATGTCTGGTTCTCTGCCTCTTCTGCTCTCGCCCTCTTCCCCTGCCCTGCTTTCTGGCTGCCATGAACTGTGCAGACCTGCTGTGCCATGCACTTCTGCCACCTCTCTGCCCTGGAGCCACCTGATCATGGACTGAATCTGTGAGCAAATTAAACCTCTCCTTTAGGTGCTGGGTGTTGAGTATTATGTCTCACCAACAAGAAGGTAATAAAGTGAAGTAAAATCTGCCAGTATCCAGCCAATATGACCAATGTAGAGACCAAAGTGATTCAAACCCTGGAAAAGTTTGAAAAAATGTTTTTTCTAGGACTATAGATTGAACCCAGGTCTTTCACACTGAGCTACATACCCAGTATGTTTTACTTATTTATATTTTGAGACAGGGTCTCACTAAGTCCGTAAGTTGCCCAGGTTGGGCTTGAACTTGAACTTGGGATCCTGGCATGCACCACCATCCTGAGCTTGGTTTCACATTTAGAGATGAACTAGTAAAGACAAAAAAACAAACAAACACAAAAAAACACTTCTGTTTTGCTACACAGTCCTTATCTTGACAAATGAACCTTCATGGATCATTTTTAAAACAATCTGCCAGGAAACATCTAATAATAATAACCTTTCTCAGTCCTTATTCGAAATAACTCCTAAATATAAAATTAACAAATACTTCCACGTTTCTAATTTGTCCTGCTATACATATCTCATTCTATGTTCCAGATAGCTCTGGCAAAGAAGACACCAAAGAAAATGTTATTCGTAGTAAATTTTATTTTGATTATTCCATTTAACATAATTTCAAAGTAAGTAAGTCTATGATGAGCAAAAGAACATACACCCCAAGTTTCAAGAACAGAGTTTTTTCACACTGTTCTTCTGAGCAAGGCATGAGACTTTGGGGATCCCAATGTTGACTCCTAACATTTTACCTCTTGTGACTTTAACTACTGATACAGAAAGAAGAGATAACATCACCAGAGAACCAACCATATGAGGGCATTGTGAAGCTCTTTTCTTATACATTCACCACCTCTGAAGGGTTGTGAAGGCAAAGACTAATAATGTTTTTCCCCATCAAGTTCAGTGTTTGTTTTAAGTAAAATGCTAAAGTATGTAAATATGTTGCATTTCTTTAATACATTTAAAAAGTGGAAGTCCGGAGATTTTTAATTCTTCATGAGCTCTAGCTGGGATGTGACTACTATGTCCGTGGTCTATCCAACACATTAATTCCAATTTTAACAACCATCAGCAAACTGTTCAAAAGAAACACAAACAGGAGACATCAGGAACAGGACATAGCAGTGACCCGTTTAGGGGACTAGGGCTCTGCAGGTCCCTCACAACTGCATGGAAGGGAAGCACCGGGACAGAGCTCTCAGAAACACGCATTTCCCCAGGAAGCAGGATAGAAAAGACAGGCCAAGGGGAATCTAGCACAGACGTCTTAGGATAGCACAAGGGCGTCCCTAATGCAGCTGCCAATGATTTGGAGAGATGGAGAAGCTGAAGGCCAGAGAAGTTGAGGCCTTCCATGTCAAAAAGTTAATTAAAAGTAGATCTCTAGCCTTCCAATTTACTTTTTATTTTTAAAATTTTAAATTTTGTGGTACTGTGGATTGAACCCAGACACTCACACAGAGTGAACCCCCACATCTCTTTTTTTTTTGATCTGATTTATTTGTTTTTTGTGGTACTTGGGATTGCGCTCAGGGCCTTCACACAGCCACACACCCAGCTCAATTTCCCAGGCTGGGCTTGCATTTGTGTTCTTGCCACACCAGCTTTCTGAGTAGCTGGGATTACAAGCATTCACTACCACACCCGGCCCAGTCCACTGCTCTTGGTCTTGATTATGATCAACAGTGTAACTATGACCAAAGATGGGTACATAATCTTGTCCCAAAACAGATTTTTAAAAATTTTTCTACCTTTGGGATGTCCTGAATTATACCCCAGGATGACTAAATTTAAAATAATTAGCTTTGAGTTTTAGAATCAAAGGTGCTTAGAAAACAAGGTTCAATCAAAATTTTCAGTAATAAAGTTCTATACAACCAAGAAACATGGTCACAGCTTTGCCCCGAGGCTTCTTCCACTGTGGGAAGGAGGCAGAACCCACCAGAGAGCAAATCTGAGGACAAAAACCACTTCCCCAGCGAATAAATATTCAAAGACATTTTGACAATAACTCAACTCCTCTTTCTGTGGCCTTTCCAACTTGTGTATAAACTAAATAATCTGAGTTGACATCTAGCATCAGGTACAGTGAAACAAAACTGTACATTTTTTAATGTACTAAGTATCTTGGGACAGAAACCAAACTCTACCCTGGAAAAGAAGAGCAACGAAATCCAAAGTACCTGGCACCTGCAATTAAACCTGCAGGCATAAATTTTCCAGAGTGGTAGAACCTCATTCCCATGATGCCAGCCAAGGTCCCAGATGTAGCTGACAAAAAGAGAAAGGTCAAAAGTCATTACCTCTTGTATGCAGGGGACCAGAAGTGAGAAAGCCCCACTGCCCTTTCAAGGCCCAGACTCCCTCCTCCTCCCTCCTCCATTCCGTCCTGGCTGTCCACATCCTATAGTCTAGGTGCAAATACTGGCCAAATAAGGTCCCTCCCAACCTGGCCCAGACTGCCTTCTTGTCCTCCTCTCTCACCGCTCTTCTGCAAAATCCACAGTTCAGTCATCAGTGTCTTAGTTTTCCCCCAAATGCGTTAGGATTGGCTTACAGACAATATTGCTTCTCCCCTGACATGCCTATTAAAACCGCACGCTGACACTGTTCTCTGTGATGGAAAACACAACTATACTCAAAAACAGGCTCTAGCTTTTTAGTTTCAAGTTTGATAGGATAAATTTGTCTTAGAAAAGTATAATTTACGCTACAGTTGGGTGATGTATCTACTCAGGAGATCATGCAAGGACTAGCTGAAGAAGTAAAGATTGACTCTATCAGAAATTAGAGAAGTCAATGAGCTGAAGGAGGGAAGCACATTCCAAGCAGAGGAAACAGTGTATGCAAAGGCCCTGTGTGAGAGGAGCACACATTCAAGGAACTAAAAGCCAGGATGACACAGACATCAGGATATGACTAGTGTGGAAAGGGGGGCAGACCACATGGAACCCTGAAGACTGTATTAGGGACCATGGTCTTCCTCCTGAGTGCAGTAAGAAGCTGTTCAGTACTATTAAGCTGAGGGATATGTGAGCACAAGTGCATTCTGAAAATGTAATTCTAGCTGTGCCATGAAGAACAAACAGCGAAGAACACAGAAGGCAGGGAGGCAAAGCACGTAAGAAACTTCGTCAGGCATGCAGGCAAGAGGGAGGGAGAACTGGGTCTCAGAGGGTGGCTGTGGAAATGGGCAAGGGGACGACTTCGGGTGTGTGCTGGAGGTGGGGCTGACACGAGCTGCTGCGGAACACGAGAAGAGCAATCGAGAGCTGAACGGAAGGAAAGAAGACCAGATGTGTGGGGTCACGGGTCAGGACTAGGTAGAGCCCTGAGGCATCGAAAGACCTCAACCTCAGCTGCACACACGAGACTACATGCTGGAGGAGACAGAAATCTCTGAATCACTTCTGCATTGGAGAGAATTGAAGGAATGGCCTTCAATTACACTGCCAAGTGACAGAGTGTAAAGGAGACATACAGTCTGGTCTTAAATTCAGTATTTACTTGTCAGAAAGGAAGATGGATTAAAAAAAAAAAGGATGAGAAGACAAATAGGAAAAGCAGGAATGACTGGTCAACTGTGCTGAGAACAGCCTACAAACTAACTGTGTAAAATGAGGACTACACACTGCACTCTAATTCTGTACAAAGACAGGTCACCAGCAGCCTCAGGGAGCGGCATTCCTGAGGGCAAAGGGGACAGAGTGGAGGGAAGGGGGCCGATCATGTGTGAGAGAAAGGCAGCTGGAGGTGAGTGGTTTTTGGAGAAATTTCTGAAAGTGAAGGAAAAGGCAAAGAACTCAAGAAGGAAATAGGCTGTGAGAGCTCCTTTTCTTTGTAAATGAGGGAGAGATGAACACACAGCATCACTGGGGAGGATCCACCCAAAAGAGGGCACAAATAGAAGACAGGACCCTTGATAGAGCAATGTCCCAAGAAGGTGGGACACAAAGAGCAAAGCCCCGTGGAGGCGGCGCTGGGAGAGAGAGGAGGGACTGGGGGATGAGTCCTGGCCTGGGGCTGCTGGTTCTTCAGGGAGCTCCGCAGATGGATATGTGCTGAGTGGAGAAGGGGACGGGCTGCAGGGAAGAGTGGTCTGCGGGTCATTCTTTGTTTGAATGAGGAAGCTGCCAGGCAGAGCCGAGGGCCGGACCTGACTTCCTCTGGCCATTGCTGGCCTCTCTTCCCCTCTGTGAGCTGGGACACACTTGTCCCCATTCCTGTGTGCCTTAGGGGCCAGAGCTGCACATGTTCTCACCCTGTGGGTACATGGAGATACGGAGGCCCCCACACTCCTGGTGCTGTGTGATGCATGGGTGGAGCCCGACAAAAGTGTGTCAGAGCCACCCTGACGAAAAGCAATCTTCCTATCCACTTTCCGCAGTCCCCAGTCCCATCTCATGTCCCGCCCTATGTCATATCTGACTTCCCCAGTTAAACTGAAAGCTCCCTGAAGCAAGACCAATGTCTTCCACAACTAGCTGCTACGGAGGGGAGCGATTTCCCAAGGCAGAAAGCAATCTGAACGCAGAGCTCACAGTGGCGTGTTACTGCAGTAATGCCCAGGAGACGTCTGCAGTGCCTAAGCCTGGGGGCTAACAGACACACGAGACCAAACTAATCTCACTGGGGAGTTGTAAATACTGGTTGAGTTATGAAAACTCTTCCCCATTTTATACATAAAAGACAAAAAGAAACCAGACCAACTTCCCACTGTGAGTCCCCTTGGGCAGAAGTAGTAAAAATTGTTTTGGGTTCCAAGTTAACCACATACCAGCAGACCAGGGCCTTCCGGCAGAGCGGATTAAGGTTACAGAACTGCCTTTCAGAGACAGGAAGCAGACGTACCTAGGAAAACCCAAATGTTCCTGGGGTCCTGAGACAGCTGGTAAGCACCCAGGCCTGCCAAACTCCCGAAGAAGAGCCCGGCCGCCAGGCTCGGCACACTACCTAAAGGGAAGCAAACACATGCACCTGCGTTACATCTGACACTTGGGTTACTCACAGACTGCACCCTGGTCCCCTTCCCTGCAGAGGAAACTAGCAAAGGGAACGCCACAGTTTACAACCCAGGTGCTCTCGAGCAGGAAAATGTTTTGGGAGTCTGCCAATCTCACCAGGAAGGCAGGCTCTTGCCACCCCATTTTCTAATAGGTAAAATGCACTTCCACTCCAAGCAGAAAAGGAGAGCTTCCCTCCTGGGGAGGAACTGTGGGCAGGGCTGTTCCTTAACAAGCCCTGATAACCCAGCTAGGGCTGGAAGTGTGCACTGGGAGGGCCCCAGGCAATTCACAAAAGGAGAGGAAAATAGTATCAATTAAAAAAAAAAAAAAAAAATCTGAACAAGAGCTCTGGTGTGTGTGTATGCTGAGGGGTGCAGTCGGGAAAGGGGCTGAAACAAGCCCCTTCACTGACACCCCTCCCACCTAGCTTAATGAAGAGACTTCCACAGTAGAAGAGATGCCTAAGGTACACAGGCCCTAGATTCCATCCCCAGCACGAATTAAACAAGAAAAGAAAAGAGAAGAGAAAGAAGAAAAGAGGTCGGGAGGGGAAAGAAACAAAAGGAAATGAGAGACAATGACTAGATGTTTGCTCTTCCTTCAAAAGCTCAGGGACAGAGATGATGGAAGGCACTCGATGGTAACAATAATCTACTATCTACTACCGCACCTGCCTCTGTGCAGATAAAGGGGCAGAACTAGGCAGCCTGGCTTGGCTCAGCCAGGTGATAACCAGAAGGCAGGCGGGCGGCAGGAGCCAGGAGGCTCACAATGCAGGCACACTTGACTTGAACAAGAGCACACTTCCAGGGACCATGGTGTTCACTTGTCCCGTCACTGCAACAATGGCAGATTTTTTAAGTTTTTATTCTAGTGCGTGTGTATAGTACTGCAGGTGGAACTCAGGCTTTGACACTGAGCGACAGCCTTACCCTCTTCATTTTCAGACAGGTTATTGCTAAGTTGCTAAGTTTCCCAGGCTGAGCTCTAACTTGCAAACTTCCAACCTCAGTCTCCCAGAGGACTGGGATTACAGGCATGCACCATCTAGCCTGGCTATAACCAAATTATTTTTAGAGGCCAAATAACTACATAAAATCCTCACCTGCTTTTACATAGCCAACGATCCCACCAGTAGCAACCAGGGCTGCATAGCCAAAGCCAAAATAATGTAAAGGCACTCTGAAATGCAAGAGGGAGAGATCAGCACCGACCATGTTTTAAAAACAAGCCATATAATCACTGGATGGACTTCAAAAATAAAGCCCACAAAGGCCGGATTTCTTGCCAAATCATCCAACCACTGAGTGACAGGGAGGGGACTCAAAGCCAGGTCTTCGGTCCACGTGCCCAGCGATTCTCCCACACCTCACGTGATCCCTGGACATCCCATGCTTAGGGGTCTTTTCCAAGGAGAAAAGAACTCTGGCTTTAGGAGCTCCGGGCTATTCCGTGTCCATTTACTGTACGCTTACAGTGGGCCGGGGTTCCTCTGCATCGTTGTGTCCAGGCAGGAGTCCACACCAGACCTGCACCTGCAGAGGGGTACAGATCAGAGGCCATTACTAGCACTGCTCTCCAGCAATCTCTATGTACTTCCAATCTCGGGCTCCTGCCCGCAGTGGGAAAAAGAAATGGACTCCTCTTCGGCACACACTCCCAAAACCTAAGGCTCCTTCACCTGGGCAAGGTACAAATCTCCTGGGGCGGCTGTGAGCACGCCTCAAGGTACCTGGGGCACAGAAAACGGTGCACAGATACCCAGCCTGTTTTTCTAACGAGTCCTCACAGAGGCCCGCAGGAAAGTAAGATCGGCCGACCACCGCTGGTCGGGCACCGGGTTAACCTTTCCACCACCTCGCCGCGTTATCGCTACCTCACGGAGCAAGTACTCCGCACCGTGTTAGGCGGGAGGGAGCACAGGGGCTTTTCATTTCTGCCCCGAGAATTGAACGACTTCAATCCTCAACTTTTGTACAATGTTACGAACTAGCTTCCGATTCACAACTCTCGTTAGACTGAGGGTGGGGAAGGAGAAGACACACGGAAGCCCGAATCCGGGCCCTGAGGAAAGTCACAACCCTCCTCGTAAAGAAAACGGCTCGGCGTCCAGGCCCAAGCAGCGCCCGCCCGCTTTCGGTTCCCCTAGGAGAGGGGCGGAGCCTCGGGGTCGGTCGCGAATTCGAAGCCTGCCGAGCACCAAACTCGAGATTTTTTAAAGAAATGGACCCTAAAGCCCTCAGGAGCCGAACTAGCACTTGCCAGCGCTCGGGCCTCCGCGGGATCCCCAACTTATTTTAAGGGCACTGCGCGACTAGAAAAGCAGCACGATGCGGCCTAAAACCCTTCCTGCCTGGAGAGGGAGACTAAAAGCAGGCAGTCGTGAAACCTCTCCGCTACTTTCTAGAAGTCAAAATTGGTATCAAGTAACAAACCCCGGGTTCGCGAGGAGCTCACCGGAGGACCGCAGACCGCCGAAGAGCCAAGGACCGTGATCGGGGTCAAGGTCTGGGGCCTGCGCGGCGCGCGTTCGACGTCCCGGGGCGGGGACAGGGCGGGGCTTGAAGTCAGGAGCCCAGAGCCAAGGAAATGGGCAGGGCGTGGGCGGGGCCTCTGGTGACAACTCGCGGATAGGCCCAGCGCCTGTGGGCAGGGCGACGGAGGCGGGACCGGGAGCCCTCAGGTGCAAGCTCTGTGTCCCCGGGGCCGAATGGAGCCTGGGGCGGGAACTGAGGCTAAAAGTTAAGGACCGAGGCCGAAAACCGGAAACCCAGAGTAGGACTCTGGTGTTGCACGAAGTCAGAGACCCTGGGTAGGGTTGGAGGTGCAGTGCAGACGTCTGCGGCCGGATTCTGAAGGCTGCGTCGATGGAGATGCAAGATGCCAGGTTTGTGAAACGGTGCCTCGCGGGTGAGTGGCACCCCAGCCCGGTCCTGTGCGGTGCTCACAGCAGGACTTGCAGGGACTAAGGTGCACAGGAGAGATGAGGCGGCTCAGTGTTTGTATTTTAGGAAAAGAGGCTTCTGGAGATGCATCTCAGAGCTAAGTTAAATACAGTGTCCCCTCTGTGGGACACAAGTACCTCTACAGCAGACCCGCTCTTCTCGGCGTCTCCTGCACGACCAATTATTTAGTTCTACACCCAAGTTTGGCATCACCCCTGACTTCCTCTCTCCTCCATCCCCTACATCCATTATGTATCCACATGGATGCACACGTATTCACATCAAGTATCCACATGGATGCATCGCAGTCTTCAGTGAATAAAGCTAATTGCAGTACATATTTACTCTAAAAGAAACTTTCTGCTTCCAGCAGCAGCTATCTTTCAGATAGCAAAATTGTAGCCCAGGTTTGCTGATTTTAGCCAGCCAACGCTGATCAAGACAGGGAACTTGAAAGGATCGGAGAATAGCAGACCTCCACCGGCTTAATAGAAACTTTTCTTCACTAATGAACAATAAAATTTGTTCTAAACAGTTGGAAATTGAGGTTCAGTCCTCTCTAGCCTGGTTCAAGCTTTGAATCATAGTTGCATCCAAACCACCATGACCCACACCACCTATGTCCCCTTTAGACTTAAAGAAACTAAACCTGAGAAAATTATCTGTCACCAGCTAGCACAGGTGTTTGCTTCAGCGATAATGTAAATTAAAACAGGCATTCAGCTCAAATTCACAGGAAAAAGCTTTAATTGAAAACTAAGATTCAGGTGTGGTGGCACACACCTGTAATCGCAGCCCTTGGGATGCTGAGGCAGGAGGACTGCCATGAGTTCAAGGCCAGGCTGAATTACATAGTGAGACTTAAGAATTAAGACGTGTTATGTACCTGTACCAACTCACCACAATGAATATAATCTTTATGTACTGCAAACATACGTAAAAATTAAACTTAAGAAAAAAAAAACAAAACAAAACTAAGAGCAAAGGAGGGCAGTACACCTCTGACAAGTGTCAAACCCGAGCTGGGAGTGGTGCCACACACTCCAGGCTGGGAGGGTGAGGCAGGAGGATCACAATTTTGAGTCCAGCCCAGCCTGGGCAATTTGGTGAGACCCTCTGCTAAAAGAAGATATAAAAAAGACTGGAGATTGGAGATGTCACTCCACGTGAAGGCCTTAGTGTCAATCCCCAGGACCAAAAAATGAAACATAAAAACCAAACAAACAAATCTGGTCTAACAAAGGAAAGACAAAATAAGAAAGGGCTTCAGTTTGAGGAGCTGAAGCAGGCCCAGGTTTGAGGTGGGTCAGACTGGCCTGTGCACAGGACGGATGCCTGTGTTTTGGGATGCTGCGGCAGGCAGCTGGGGTTTCAGTCCTGCTTTCCGCGGTTGCTCTGGCTTGGGGCAGCCTCCAGCTGGTAACTCTGCTGGGATCCCAGTGGACCCTAGGATTAGCACAAGGGAGACTTCTAGAAGCAGCTGACCGTCCTGGGAATCTCTTGGTGACCTCCATCTCAAAGCACCAGGTCAGCCTAGGCAGATAAGCCTTGTTTTGCCAGCTTTTCTTCAATGACTATCACACAGTACCTATCTCCAAAATATAAAGTAATAAAGGGTACAAAGCAAAGGTCCAGCTTTGTTCTGATTACCCATCGGGCACCTGTAGGTCCAAGTGGAGAATCACAGGTTTTAGTGAAAACCACTTGTAAGTCTGCCTCAGAAGAGAACACATATCATGCCTTTTATGCATAACAGGCTAAGGGCCCAGGAGTTTATCTGTCCTCTGACCAAATGGTGGCCTCCGACCTTGTCGCCTAAGTCCTAGTCATTGCTAGAGCTACTACTTGAAATAAGGTCTGCCTGACTTAAAGGCAATACCTCTGTGGGCTGGGGATTTAGCTCAAGTGGTTCCGCCACCTGCCTTGTAAGCACAAGGACCTGAGTTCAATCCCCGGTACCAAAAAAAAAAGAAAAAAGAAAAAACCAAACAACCTCTGTAATATGCTGCCTCTTGTGTGTGTTTTGTTTTTTGAGAGTCTTGCTATATAGAGTTCAGCTGGCCTTGACCTCATTATGTAGCCCAGTTTGGCCTCTCAGTGACCTTCCTGCCTCAGCCTCCTGAGTGCTAGGATTATAGGAATATGCCACCATGCCCAGCAGTATGTTGCCTCTTATAATATTGCTCAACTGAAAAATGAAAAAAGAAGCCCTTCTGTGAGTATAGTGCGTGGAAATATATCATATAAGTTGTTTCTGTTGTTCTACTTAGTCCCAGAATCAAGGCAGATGTGTGATCAGTAATGTCTGCAGTTGGTATTAACATATTTTAGGAGATAGCTGAGCTTTCAAGTAGGAGCCCAGTGAACCCTGCTCTACAGATGCAGCAGTGAGTGAGGCCAAGATTGGTGGAGGAGTGATCCACTTTCAGGCTGTGGTTCCCAAGGCCTATCCAGAGGGCTTTTTTTTCCGTTTTTCTCCACAAAGAATCCTTGAGTTACAGTTCTGTCTGACACACCCACATAACTCATGGGTACACACATTCACATGCACAGCCAGGGCGACAGAAGAGATCATGAAGAGAATTCCACATAAGCACCATCATCTTAGAGTCCTGAACATGCAGACTGTGAATGAGCAGCTACCCCACTCACAGAATAAAACCTCAGAACAAATCCCAATAGGGCCTTTCAGGTCAATCCACATCCACCAAGTTAACCAGGACAGGTGCCTTCAAGATGAGGTAGGAGAGAAGCAGTGCAGGTAGAGAGAAAGGAGACAGGAAATTAGGATTTTAAACTTCGTACTTTAAAACCTTCCAGTTGGCTCGAACCACCAGTAGTGCGTGTATGCCTGCCCCGCTGGGTGGGTGTACCAGTGTGTCTAAGCACTTTTCCTTCTCTTTTACTGATAAAATTTAAAGTCTATAAGCAGACCGAACCTAGTTAGTTGCCCAAGTTAGAGTAATTACTGCTCAAATATTAATACAATTCATACCAATTAAAATATTACCATAACATTTCATTGAAGTATTTATGTTCGTGACTAGTTTATTGATAAGATTCTCTAAATTACAGCATGGAAATCTTACAAGTACCCCCTTGCTGGTGTATATAATACACATATATAACTGCTGCACCACAAATGAGCTGTATTACAATTTTTTGTATCAATGCTTTCCCTAAGGAACTGTAACATGATGGCATCTGTCCCCTAAAAATGAGGCCACACTCAGGACCCAGTCAAGTCACCAACCCCTAGCTCACCCCAGGGAAGCCATACAAGCCAGTCCGGGTCTTGGGTTAACAGGCCAGTCTGATCCTCTCCACCAGACTTGTATCCACTTCAACTATTCTCTTCCTCAAGCTCAAACTCATCCCCTATTTTCTCCCTCTCTGTCTCTTTTTGAAAGTCTTGCTTAATGTAGCCCAGGCTGGCCTCAAACTCACTGTGATCCTCCTGCCTCAGCCTCCCAAGTGCTGGGATTACAGCATATACCACCACACCCAGCTCCCTATTTTCTCCTTCTCAATTAAAGCTTTTGCCTACAGATTTGTGCTGTTGCTTTGGTTTTAATCTCCATTATCACTGAAGTTCTCACATCCTTGTATCAAAGTATCAGCAATTAGCAACTTCAGCTTCAGTAGTTTATAGCTTTGTTTAAAAACCAAAATCATCCATGCAATAAACCTTCCATGAAGAAACCAGTAAATAAAATGAAAAAACTCACCTATTGTCAGGCTACCCTACCTGCCACATGCTTCTTGGTCTCATACAGTGGGGTCCCAAGTTACAAACCCATGTGCCAAGTTACCGTATGCCAGACTGCAGTGCTTTACACCGAGTAACTCATGTAATCTTCACACCAACTCTGTGCAGGAAGGACCGAGGTTGTTTCCTTTTGACACATGGAATCAGCAGAGGGCAGGGTCACACGGTTCGTCCATGCTGTAGCCCCTCAGTGTGTTCTCAGCACCGTGGCCAAAGCCCTCCTGTTTTAAATCCAGTTCTTCCCTGTGCTCAAAAGCCTTTGATGGCTCCCTTATCTGATGCTGGGGCTTGGAAGGCCTGCACATGGACCTCCCCAAACTGAGCTCCTTCTCTTTGCCCTGTTTATGCTGCCTGATTCCTTGCTCCAAAGTCCTGCGTCATTTGCCGGGAACTCTCCCCCTCACTCCCTCACCTCCCATTCAAGGCCAGTCTGAATTACATAGTGAGATCTGCCTCAAACAAACAACACACACACACACACACACACACACACACACACACACAAAAGTGCACCCACGGCCTTCTTGAAAACCTCTCCAAAGAACAGGACTAAAAGAGCAACACATACTGGAAAGAATACTGAAAGTGTATCACATAGATATTACTGGAATCATACAGATGGAAGTCTGGTTTCTTCTTAAAGAAGTGAATGTGAATGTGAAACACCCTATGCACTTGCACTTCCTGGGTGAGTCCTGTAGATGAAAGCAGTGTTCTGTATCTTCCTGTTGTCCTATTCTCCATCCAGGGTGTGATACTGAACTATATCTGGGGACATGGGAATCCTGTGTTCCTTACAACTGTATGCCACTCTATAATTAACCTCAAAATAAAAAATTAAACTTAGAGAAACAACCACTTGTTATTGTTTTTGTTTAGAAGTCCGAAAACAGTTGAAGGGACAGGCTGAAGTGTTTGACCTGGAAGAGGATGCATGTCCTGGATGACTTTCTTGTTCATGACCATCCCAGGGCCCAGTGCTGATACCTCACTGTCTAATCAGAAGCCACTCTCCTCAGGAACTAGGTACCCAGTATCTCCCCAGCTAATTCAAATGAAGACCTCTGGCATTTATGTGTCTTTTCAAAACATCTAGTAATCTGAGAACAATGCTTATAGTTAACAGATGACAAAATTACAGTCACAGCCTAAATTCAAGACTACTGTAGATTGGTTATCAATTTTTTTTGATGAAAGGGTGAAAAAATAATAGGAACTATCTGTTTTCCTGCCCTTAAATTGTCTTATAGGCCACTGTGTGGAAGCAGAATAAAGCGGTTGTAGGACTGAGTGAGTGGCTCAGGAGTAGAACTTGCCCTGACACACAAAAGGCCCGAGCTCCAACCCCAGCGTCACACGCAAGAGTTTCAAGATTTCGCATTATTTTAAGTTACATTGAGAAAGGAGACCTTTGTTTTGCATAACAATAAAAATTATATATTACAATTACAAACTACCAGGATAAGTAATTTTCTTTTGGTGGGGCATCACTGGTACTTAACAAAGGACCAAGGCCTTCACACTGAGCTACTATGTAGCTCAAAACCCTTTATTTTTCTGGACACAAGTTCTCCCTGTCATTAAGTTGCCCAGGCTGGACTCAAACTTTCAATCCTCCTGCCTCAGCTTTCCACAGTGCTGAAATTAAGATGCGTATGACTACCTCAAGCCCATAATATATAATTGATTTCATCTGTCAAAAATAATTTTATCAGATAAAAACAAAAGCCCCACCTAAAAGTGGTTCCTTTAAAAGCTATACATTTTGTCCAAAAGAAAAAAATTTCTTGCTTTTACTCAGAAAAAGAAAAAAAAATTAGATACAATACTTGAAAACGACAATTCCGTCTAAAAGGAGTTCTTTGGAGGAAGAGAGATCTGGGCTTCTCTGTATGTTACATTTTCTTCTTTCTTCTCTTCTTCTCCTCCAACATCTCCCCCGTTTTCCTCTTCTTTCTTGACACTGGGCCGCGCCGTGTGGCTGGCTTCTCCCTGTCACCAGTTAAGCCACCTATCTGTGGGTCAGGTCTTGATGCTGCTTCTGCCTGCACCATGGCACCAGACTCCTTTTTGCTGCTCTGGTCCTGTTCTTTACTTACTAAGACACAAGAGACAGTGCACTCAGACTGGGTCTCACTCTCTGAGTAGAATAAACACAGGCTGATCATCAAAGGAAGCTGTCTGGACAGCTTCCACTTCAACAATTCTAGAGGTCAAGAGTGGTCAGTGTTTAAATACTGATCAACTTCATTTACCAGGAGAAGGCTCTGCCCGCGGAGGAAGGCTCTCCTTTGCGTCTGTCCCACTATCCAACCACACTCCTAGACACGTCAGCCTGGCGTGAGTGTTTACTCCACACAGCAAAGATGGCGGGACAGTCTAAAAGAGAAGGGAGAAAAACATACGATGCAGGTAAGAGGAATCCTGAGTGCTCTTCTCTTTCTGTAGCCAAGTTACCTTGATTTAACATCTATTACAGCAATGTTTCAGGCAGTGGTGGACACACGTGAGTGCAGGCGGCTGTACCTCTGGGCGTGAGCACCCTCTACCATGTTCTCATGGTGATGAAACCGCCTCTAACACGTCCCCTAGAGTGTTACCTCACCCTTAAGGGTGTGCTGCTGCTCTGTGCTTTCTTGAGCAGGATCTAGAAGTTATCTACTCTCTTGATTTATGACTAGTTTACCATGTTCATAGGACAATTTCTGAGAAGTATCCAGAAATGATAAATTCTAAGGCTATGGAATATTTCTCATTCATATCCAGGGCGTAATAAACCAAAGAAGCTTGTACAGAGTAGTCTCCAAAAAACCATATTCATAGAATGAGGAATAATAAATTGAAATTAGCTGGGCGTGGTGGCGCATGCCTGTAATCCCAGCACTTAGGAGGCCGAGGCAGGAGGATCACTGTGAGTTTGACATCAGCCTGGACTATAAAGTGAGTTCCAGGTCAGTCTCAAGTATAGTGAGATCTTTTCTCAAAAAACAAAACAAAACAAAAACCCAATAAACTATAAAGAGACTTCCAAGAACTAATGTTAGTTCTACACTCACAATCAGGATGTTACAGATTCTGTGTAGCAATGGCGGTGTTTTCACCTCAGATCTTACAGAAAGGCTCACATCCCAAGTAGCAAGTGACACTTTTCTGAGGAGAAGAGCAGAGGGGGACTACTATCAGCTTGGACTCACAAATGCCAACCCAGAGCTCTATAGGGACCCTGATTTTAAAACCATTAATATCAATCATGCCTTGAAATTTTAGAAAGCTTGAAGACCGGTATCTTACAACAAAAATATTTGGCTTCACTTAACGAAAAAAAAAAAAAAAAATTGGCAATAAAACCTGGGTGAGTGTACTTAACACTCACTACAGCACTGACCTTCTCCTGCTTAAGCTTCCACATCTTGATGAAACCATCACTTGACGCTGTAACAAGAACACGATGCTCTGGAATTTCAAAACTGAACATGTCTTTTACCCTGGGATAGAAATATTAATGCCACAAAAGATCGTCAGTTCCAAGGTATGTGGTATCGTCATAAAACCCAACACATAAAATAAAAACATGCTCACTCTATGCTCACTTCTATGTCTCTTGCTTTTCCAATGCTACTCCAAACTGCTCAATTGTGTCTTAAAATATAACTATGTTTCATATGCCTGTTGGTTAGTGAGTCGTGTTCAGGCTGAAAAACAGGGTAAAACTGACTGTCAACCACGTCCTCATATGGAAAACCTGAAGATGCCTTTAACTAATTGGGTGATCTCAAAGGAAATAAGTATGACTAAAACAAAGTCCCTGGCCTCAAGCACTCTCAGTTCTGTGAGGAAAGGGAACACAGAACAGAGTACAGGTCCCTTCCCAGCAGCCACTTCCCTCCTCCAGGGTCACCACTGCTGTGCAAGTGGCTTTTCTCTCTGGGGTATGGCGGTCGCCCGACTGACTTTCCTGCTTCCAGTTTAGCTCCCTAACACTTTTTCATGTGAAGTCAAATCATGTTGCTGTCAGGTTTAAAATCCCACAAAATCGGGCATCTGCTTTAAAATAACACAGTGGAGGAAGTGATGGGGATACGGATGAAGACTGCCCTGACAGGACCAGGGCTGAAGCCGGTGCTGTCTGTGGGGCCGGCTCCTCACACTAGTCAGCCTGCCTCAGCGATGCCAGGTGTGGTAGCACAGGCCTTACTCCCAGTACTGGGAAGGGTGAGGCAGGATAATCGCAGCATGTTCGAGGCCAGCCTGAGCTACACAGTGAGTTCAAAGTCAGCCTCAACTACATAGCAAGACCCTGTCTCAAATCAAACCAAACCAAACCAAACCAAAACAACCAAAAACCAAAATCCAAACAAACAAATAGCAAAAGGAACTTGGGCTGGTGTACAGCTTAGTGGGAAAGAGCTTGCTCAGCAGGGACAAGGCCCTGGATTCAGTCTCCAGGACCACAAAAATAGAAAAAACAAAAACAAAACATACAGAGCCACTCTTCTCTCTGCCCCCAAGCACCAGTTTGGCCCCTGCCCTCTCCCTTTTCAGTCTAATGAGCCTCTGCCTGTCCTTGGAATTACCAAGCTCTTTCCTCCCTGGGCTTCTTGGCTCTGTCTGGGCTGTAGCTCAGTGGTATGACACTTGCCTGGCATGTCTGAGGCCCTAGATCCAATCCCTAGTATGGGGGGAGGGTCCTTTATTCCTTTTTTTATCCTTAAGGTTTATTTTTCCTTCCCTTATCATCTTATCTAAGTTGTTGCCCTTGTTATTCTTTAGTCATATTTGTATTTCCTGTGCTCTACCACTGAGCTGCATACCTTGCCTATAATCTATTGCCTTACTCAGTGAATCAGGCACGAACGAATGAACAAATGGCCAAAAATCCTAAGTGTTAGTTTTGCATTTGAAATGGCCTTCCTTGAATGTGTTTACTCCCCAAATCCAGAGGAATGTCCCATACACTGACTGCAGGACTCTATTTACAAAGACAGGGTGGCACATGCCTGTAATCCCACCACGCTGAGGCTGGAGGATCCCGAATTCAAGCCCAGCCTGGGGAACTTAGTGACTTAGCAAGATCCCATCTCAAAAATTTATAAAGGGCTGGGAAGTAGCTCAGTATGAATGCCCTGGGTTCAATCCTAGGTACTGCAAAAAAAGTTCTTTGGAAAATAAGAACAAGAATACGCAGATGAGCCACGTTAAAGTGTAACTCTGTATGTTACCACCTTTTTAAAAATCATGGTGGAAAAATCAGAGATTTATGTCTGAGGAGCTGGTTTGGCCCAGTTCCATCACTTAGGAGAGTAATCCTGAGCTATTTACTGTGAGACTCAGTGTCTACTCCCTAGAAGACAATAAGCATGAAGAGTTGGAATTCATGTTACTTCATTCAATTCTCTCTGCAGGCAGAGGATAAAAAAGCATGGAAAGGAAGAAGTGGACAAGGAGAATTGAGAGTAGCTGGGGCAAAGCAGACTGTTTAGGGCCTTTGTTTTTTGTGGTACTTGAGATGAAACCCAGAGCCTCCTGACTGCTAGGCAAATGCTCCACCACTGAGCAATACACCCAGCCCTGTTGTTTAACTATTCAAATATGCCTAATTTCAAGCTCCAAGTCTAACAGATTTACTTGAAAAAAGTCCAAATGATCAGTCTTAAACACAGCCATTACTTCTGCATTACAGAGGCCAAGAACATAACACTCTCTGCACACATTTCTTTCTTTCTTTTTTGGGCACTGGGGATTGAACTTGGGTGAAACCACTGAGCTAAATCCCCCGCTCTGCACACATTTCTAATTGTCTCTGCACTTGTTACAAAAACTGAAACCGTTACCTGTACATGTGTAACATTTATTGATTCTCTACACCTACACAAAGCAATTGGTAAAATACCTGTTTTCATGGGCTCTAAATTCACAGAGGCACGCCAATGACTCACAGTCGAAAAACCTCACCACTTCTTCGTCTCCAGCCACTGCAAGGACAGAGTCCTAGGACAGAGAGCAGGAAGGGTACCCAGGATGCTGCCAGCAGTCCTGACGATCTTTTACTCCCATAACTAATTTCTGACAACTTACTGAAAGAAAGGTAACAGAAGAAACCCGCTTCTCATTGGTGATGGTGCCACTAATGGACGCAGTGTGAAGCTGGTAGACATCAACCTTATTCAGGATGACAACTACGTATTTCTCCCCACTCGGGGACCATTCCACTATGTGAGCATCTGTGAGTTATAAAAGCAAGATTTTATAAATAGAGCAATCAGATGATCAGAGTAATAAAAATAGCAAACATTTATGCTATTTGCATTTTCATATACACTTTCCTATTCAATCTTCACAACAAATTTATGGTACATTTTGCAAGTTAACTCGAACAATTATTGAAAATTACAGAGCTGGCTAATGGCAGAGCCGCAAGAACTGACACTAAAATGGGAAAAGAAAGTAACTGGAAACACTTCTTTCATAGGAAATACCAGTACAGAGAAAATAAACCTGTGCAAACATATACATAAGAATGTTTGTGAATGTTCATGGTCCATTAGCCTATTACAAAAAAATACTTACTTTGTTTTATATTTTTTATGAAAGCTGATCTTCCCTCCACAAGATTCCACGTTCTGTAAAATAAGAAGCTTGCTTTTGGCACGATCATCAATTAACTTACTAAGTAGAAAAGTGTAAGCAAAATGAATACTTGCTTAGCTGACAGTTTTACCAGATCCTGACTATTAAGAACCTGCCATTTTTCTTACAGCAACATCTTGATTCCCCACCCCCCACCCCCAGTATTGGGGATTGAACCCAGGGCCTCTGCACTGAGCTACATCCCCAGCCAATTTTTTTTTAAATTTTGAGACAGGGTCTCAATATCTTGCCCAGGTTTGAACTTGCAATCCTCCTACCTCAGCCTGCCAGACTGCTGACATTACAGGTGTGCCCCACCACTTCCAACTTGAAATTTTTACTATCAAGTAGAATTAAAGTTCACTCTGTTGCCACACTTTTAATATGTTGTGCCTATTGTATTTTCAAAGGTTTCATCTCCTAAACCATGTCACCTTAAGACTACCCTCTTCCTTGGTGAACAATGTAGGGTGTCAGGAACAGTAGTGCACGTCTGAATGCAGGTCACTTTTAATACTACCATTATGAAATGGGTCATTAGCTTTCTACCTTTTTCTGGTATCACGTGTTTTTAAATTATTGAAAATTGGGGACAAAGAAAACAATACCTAACTGTTATGGCAAAGATCCAACCTGGTAGACACTTTGGGGCATGAATGGCTCACCTTAATGTCTTATCTGTGCCTACAGACAGGGCCAACTTGCCAGATGGGTGAATGGAAAGGAAGGTCACATGTCCTCTAAAACAAAACCAACAGTTAGCTCCCAACTTGCGTGGCGCATGGAGAGCACCAGTGGGAAGAGTGACTCACTTGTGAGCTTTAATTGACTTTAAGCATTCCCACTTCTTTGCATCCCAGACACAGATGAGTCCATCTTCGGCCCCACTGATTAAGTGCCTGTTGCCGTAGAACTTCAGGCAAGTTATTGTGCCTGCAGAAAACCCGAGAGAGGCAAAATTAGATTCATTCTCAACACAGTTCCATTTCTGGTTGGAAGCCTACACTACAGTGAGTGAAACACTGGACTCGGGATGCAGCTCAGTGGCAGAGATAGAGATGGAATCAGTTCCTTTTCTCCATCTGCCATCATAGTTAGGAGATGGCCAGTTAGAACATTGAGCTGCAGTCCAACAAAATGACCTGGTTCCTCAGTTAAGCTGGGGAACAAATCAAGGTGCACAGCCATGACTTCTGCTGTCTAAATAGACAGTTAGCTACCCAGTCAGCCACAATCCAATCACTGTCAGAGCTGTTGACTGGACTTCTGCTCACTTCTCATTCACTGTCATGAGACTTTATTAGGACAATTTTATAAAATGTTACATGCTTCAGCTGTACCCTCTGGAAACTCCTTCCTGTGGTTAATAAATTTTCCTTCATCTTTCAACCTCTACAGCACTCCCTTCCTTACACCAAAACTGAAGCATAGATCTTCCCAAAATTTCCCCTATGGGTCAAATATTAAAAGACAGAAGGGCTGGGGATTTAGCTCAGTGGCACCGTGCCTGCCTTGCAAGCCCAAGGTCTTGAGTTTGATTCCTGGTACCAAAAAA